TTTTCGACCCCACATTGTAGTATAGTTTTAGCCTATAATTCTATATCTACATACGTGTATTGTTGTACAGTATAATATGAATGTTCAGTGTGAGTATATCAATTTACCTGCAATAGGCATGAATCCAATCCCACAAAATACCAGTCAAATACATTTGCTAACATTTCTTTAACAAAACATAATTTTATACATACTAGACCAGAGTAGAGAAAATTTAGCTCAACTTTATTTCCCATACACTGTGAATACTATAGCATATACTACATAGTTTCCATTGGGAACAGGCATCAATGTTAGTGATATTCTACATGCAGTAATAAACATAGGCGAAAAATAACCCATATCCGTGATAAAACCGTGAACACACACCCAGAATTGTTATTAAAAATGCTGTTTCCAATTTTGGTGTTCCGTCACACACTGTCTTGGACACAGAATGGGTAGTATCGCCAATTCTAACAAGTAAAGCAGAAATACACAGCAACCAGAACTAAGAACGTTCGAAAATTCGACAGCAAGTTGTTGATCTGTTTATGCCCCCATTAAGATTTTCAGTTGCCTGAGCAAAGTTTGCAGTTTGTCGCTTTACGTAATAATGCATCTTTCTGGCATGGCTTAACTAACTCACAGTTTACTATTGAATGTGTTAGTATACCGCATGTTTTTTTTATTATCATCGAATATTCTTGTACCATAAGAACATTTATTATACTTTGGTGGGGGTGGTCATATTGATTCCGATATTACAATCATTACTCCACTCAATTCGTACATGTCAATTATTATCTGATTGAAAGGCTGAAATGACATCATGCAAATACCAACCCCAGCGTAGACGATCCCATTGGCTAAGGCATGGTGTTTATGGAAATACTGTCCAACAATCACAACAATCACAACACTCGCAATTAATAATTATATTGCAATTAATAATTATATTGCAATTAATAATTATATTGCAAGTAATACAAAACCATAATATGTTCAACTATAAAATAAATGTCCACGCAATTGTTATACTGTAAAGTAAACAACTAAAATGTTGCCGCTGGAGGGCGTTACCTATAGTAGTGGATATAAAGTATACATATGTGTGAATTTGTATCAAAGCACGGGTCTAATCTTCTCTGTTTTGAAAACACTTTTTGCAATGATTCCGAAGTGTTATATTTAAAGCGGGGGAGTCGTCACCTGCGCATGCGTCAGATGTCCATAGCGTGTCATTATTTACAAACAAGCGTCTACCCATGAGCCTTTGCGTTTTTAGCGTGTGTTGTTATTGTCGCTTGGAACGCAATTCCCGCGCGTGCGCAGGTGACGATCCTCTCGCTTTAATATAAGTTGAGCTGAAATTGCACGATAGAGTGAGTAGTCAGATGTCAAAACATTGTACCACTATCAACATTTGCTATGTAATATTTTTTTTTGAAGACAAATTACTCTCTTTATTTTTTTATTTTTAATCTAATCATCGCCTCTATGTGAAAAATAACCCTGTGTTTACATTGTCGTCTATGGGAAGTTTAATTGCAATATAAGATATATATGTGTGAGCAAGAATTCAAGTGGGTATTACACCAGCCAGCTTGTATTTATGCTAATTAGGGTTCCAGGGTAGACTGAAAAATACATGAATGCAAGATGACGATATCATCCCGCCCACTTGAAATAAAATCCGGGCCCAGCTGTGTTTGCGCCTACACTAGACCCTTTATCAAATACAATACGGTTATTTTAAAATATTGGGTATGTTTTCTTGTTTAGTAAATGCATCAACTTTCGTATATTTTATTTTAATTTAATTTAAACATAGATTGTAACATCGTCTTGTGTTTGTTCCAGTTATATGTTCATTCCCCGTAGTAATTATAGGATTACAGTTGGGGGATGTGTACATGTCTGAAATGAACAAGTAACTGATACAAAGACGCCAC